CCCCAAACATCCATGGTGCTGGGTGGACTGAGCTCTCTTTGTTGCTTGGTTTTTTGTTAGCTTAGGCAAAATAGGCTTTTTCCCATTCCTTGGCCTTGGAGACTGTGACAATCATCCTTTGGTGGCCTTTGTTTTTTTCCTGAACTGTTCAGTTTGTTTGGTGTGATGCCAAGGAAGACTATTGATGGGATAAGCAGGGGACTGGTGGGGACCTGAGCAGCCACTCCATCCCAGCCCCAGACCTCAGAAAAGCTGACCCAGTGAAAGAGAGGACCCTAAAACCACCAGCTTCATCTGCTGTGAAGAGAAGGCCAGCAACAGAGATTCACCAGGTTTCCCATCTGATTTTTTTCCTGAACAGATGCATGAAACTTTTGGTTATTTTTCTCCCCTGATATTACGATGGAGGCCAGAGCTTTTATCTAAGAGTTACTCGCTTGTTACAAACAGAGCAGAGACTCTTTTGTAAAGAGTCTGGCACTCTTGTATTAGCTATAGAAGACGGAGGAGCCGAGATAAGCCCCAGTCCCCTTGCAACAAGCAGGAAACAATACGATGTGTCACACCTCTGACACACTGAACGCTCCCTTGGAAACGAGCTCCACAGAAGAACACGGAGCAGAAGTCTGACACTCCCTTTTATAACCTCTTTGGGTCCAGGATTGGTGGGATTGGGATCCTTGTGGTGATTGGTCCATTTTTGGGGCTCTCATTGGTCCTTCGTACTGTTCATTCCTGTCCAAACATTCTCTCAGGGCGTCAAATGATTGGACCACTCCTTGTACCAATCACGTCTCGTGGCACTGATGTCACAGTGCTGACTTCACTCTCAAGGTGTTACCACACCCCTCGGGAACAACTTACACATCATCCTGGACCCCTTTAAAAGTTTAACAAACATTAATTTAATTCATTATAACATTTCAATTAACTTCAAAAACTATGAACTTCTTCATAAAATCACAACAGGGCAACAATTAACTTAGAAAATTAACAACCTTAACTTGCAACAAACATTGACCAAATTTTACCCATAATACCAGAGACAAAAGCCGTTGCCATTTTTTTTCCCCTCCTCCCTGCCATGTAGTCAGCAATTGTTTTTTTTCTTTTCTTTTCCTGGCATTTTGGTTTGTTTATTTTTTGATTCAGTGCAGATATGTGTGCATTTGGGGAGGGTAGAGTGGTGCAGGTAAGGTTCTGACAATTCACTATCTAGTCTTTGCATATTTTTTTCCCATGCTCTGTTGCCTCTCCAATAAATGGTTAGGTTTTTTTCACTTTCCTCCACTAGTGTACATTTATTCATTGGCAGGGAGGAGTTGTTGCAGCCTCATTTTTTGTTAGAGGAAACATTAATTCCAGAGTGTTCCCCTAAACTTGTCTCTGAACCAAGACATGAAGGAAGCCTCTGAAACTAGTCCCAGACAAGTGGTCAGAGAATTGGCTGTGGGAAGAAGGGGGCTGTGTGGGACTCACTGTGAACTTCAGAGAGGATGTAGCTTATCTCTCCTGCTCCACTCCTAGAGGTTTCTGCCACCAAGCCCTGATTGTAGAAGTTTCTGACGCTGAGTGGGACGTTCTTGCTAGCCATTCAGGCACAGGGCGGGGCTTCCTCCAGTCATCAGAGGGGCAATTAAAAGAAGGCTCTAGGGAGCACGGCCAACAGGACCAGGCAAACATGAGAGTGGCACGGCTCTGAGGGTGTGGCATGGTTCTGAAGGTGTGGCATGATTCTGAGGGCGTAGCATGGCAGTCTGCACAGCAGTTTGTGCAGGCAGGGCAAATGGGCCAGATTGCAGGCATCCTACTGCTAGTGGTATTTTTATTTTATTTAGCTTGATTTTGGTTGGTGGGGGGTTTTGTTGTTGTTGTTGGTTTTGGTGTTGTTTTCTTCAGCAATGGCTGCTAAATGATCAAAAGCTATAGTTAGCAAAAGTGTACCAACCCAAACAGAATGCTCCAAGAAGGATGCATCTGTCCAGACCCCTTCCTGTATGGTGTATTTGAGTCAGTAGTACCAGGGGATGGTGTAAAAGATGCGTGCCTGCAGTGCAAAACAGGTGAATGATATCTGGTGTCTGTGCTTAGGGAGGAAGTAGAAAAACTAAGGAGTATTAGGGAAAGTGAAAGGGAAACAGACTGGTGGAGTTTCACCCTTCCAGCCCTGAGAGAAGTCAGAGGACTCCCATGCCTCCTACCATCAGGCAGTAGGAAGAGACCTTGTTGATGAAGGGGAGTGGAAATGGCTCCCTGCTCAGGAAGGTAATAAAAATTCTTCCCAACCCCCATCACCTACCCGGATGCCACTTCAGAATAGGTATGAGGCCCTGGATCCAGAGGGTCAGTCAGATGACATAGAAGAAAATAATCTGCCTGGAGAGCCTCCCAATTACACTTCATCTGTCAGACATCACTGCCTCTAGCATTCAAAAGAAGAGTAGTCGTAGTAGGTGACTCCCTTCTGAGGGGAACAAAGGGCCCTGTATGTCAACCAGACCCGTCCCACAGGAACGTCTGCTGCCTCCCTGGGGCCTGGGTAAGGCATGTCGCCAGGAGACTCCCTGGGCTGATTCAGGGAGCCCTCTGATTATTACCCACTGCTGATACTACAGGCTGGCAGTGATGAGATTGAAAAGAAGAGCACCAGGGCAGTTAAAAGGGACTTCAGGGCTCTGGGTCAAGTGGTTGATGGGGCAGGAGCACAGGTGGTGTTCTGCTCAATCCCTTCAGTGGTGGGAACAAATGTGGCTTGAAGGCTGGTGTCATCAGCAGAATTTTGGATTCTTTGATTACGGGGCAACTTTTGTGGCACCTGGCCTGCTAGATCCAGATAGGCTCCATCTATTTAAGGGCAAAAAGATTCTAGCCCATTAATTGGCATAACTCATTATGAGGGCTTTACACTAAGTTTGAAGGGGGAAGGGGATGCAACTAGGCGCTCCAGAAACAAGATCAAGGGTGATAAGCCAGAGTCAAGGGTCAAATCAGCAGGCCAGTTGAAGTGCATGTACACTAATGCATGCAGCATAGGTAACAAACAAGAGGAGCTGGAAGTCATGGTGTAGCATAACATGCATTTCATCATCACGGAAACATAGTGGGACAACGCACATAACTGGAGTGCTGCAATGGATGGCTATAAGCTCTTGCAGCACAGAGACAGGAAATGGAGAAGAGGTGGAGGGGTGACTATATTAAGAAGGTTCTTGACACCATGGAAATTGAAACTAATGACAAATAAATTTGAGAGCCTGTGGGTAAGAATCAGGGGGGAAGGCTAATAAGGCTACCACCTTGGGTGGGACTCTGTTTTAGGCCACCCAACCAGGAAGAAGAGGTGGATAACTTATTCTACAAACAGCTGGAGGACATTTCAAGATTGCCAGCTCTTGTTCTTGAAGGTGACTTTAAGCTAACAGACATCTGCTGGGAACTCAAAACAGCTTCATGTCACAGCTGGTGAGCGAGCCTACCAGGAGAGAGACTACGCTAGATCTGCTGTTTGCAAACAGAGATGGGCTGGTAGGAGATGTGGTGGTTGAAGGCCATCTAGGGCACAGTGATCATGAAATTAGAGAGTTCTTGATACTTGGTGAAACATCAATAAAACTTACACACTGGACTTCCAGAGGGCAGACTTTGGCCTATTGAAGAGATTTAGTCAGAGAGTTCCTTAGGAAGCAGCCCTTAAGAATAAAGGAATGAGAAGATAAAGAAGTGGGCACTGCACGTTCCAATATGAATCAAGCAAATGCCGCTTTACTGCTCTCTTCTATCCCTAATACATAATTTCTCTATCCCTGCATGTGATCTTGCAACTTATCATCGCTTAAAGCTTTCTTGCACAAGGTAAACATGCGGGCTTTTCTATTTTTCATTGACTTCAGAGTTTCTTGGCATTCATCTATCACATTCAGCTCTTCTTGTCTCACCCCTTTTCTTTTTAATCAACAGCTGTCCTTCTTATCTCTTTTTCATGGTGACTTCAAGGGCAAAGCTATAGGCCTTGTTCAGACTTATAAAAGGTTCATATCCCTTCCCTGGCTCATTCACTACATGTCCATTTTCCTCTAAAAACATTCCCACAATTCCCCTTTTTTGTTTTTTTGCTACGAACACTGCCTTCACCGACTTTTGCAAAAGCTGCAGTAAACAAGGCAGTAAAAGGAGCATAAGCACATCATTAACAATACCAAAATAGCTGTCTTCAACAACCCTTTAAGCCACTCACTCAAATCCCATCCACTGAATACATGATCGAGTCCAAAAAATCCCACATCCATTTGTGTCTTTAAAGTTAGTTGCTGCAGTTCCTGGATTTTCATGTGAATAAATTCAGAGTGACTATCCAAAGCCATGAAGCACATTCTGTCAAAGTCCTCACATCCACAACCGTGAGCTAGCAACAAAAAATCAATAGCAGCCCTATTCTGCAAAGTAGTGAATCATTAAAAAAAACAGTAATCACGGACAAAGACCCTCTAACTAATTAAAGTTAGATAGTGGTATGTTTATTCACCGGCGGGCAGCACTGGAGTCACCTCCGAGAGGCGTGACCGTGCTGAACAAGGTTCTTTGCCATCTATTTATTCCCCAAGATCTTACATACAATACATATGCATAACCCCAGCACCTCCCATCCCATATTAAAATGAGCCCATTCGTCCTTCACGCGTGCGCAGTTCTTCTCTTGAATTGGGTCGGTGGTCTCAAAATGGGTCAGTGGTCTCAAAGGATGAAGTCAGGAGAGTCTTCATCAAGTCTCTGTGACCCTCTGGCATGATCCAAGGCCCCATGCTTCATGGTTAACAGTTTACTTATTTTACGTTCTTCTGTACGTAAATTTATAATAGCAGATAATTATACCAATTAGCTCTAGCCTAAGCATCTAGTAATTATTAACCTACCATTTACCTACCTAGCTTACATCTTGGTCATGGAAACTACTTCTACTCTTAGCAAAAATTCTAACTTTTTTAAAACCATGATTCAGTAGCATGTCTAATTATATTAGTGTCTGTTGCCAACATTGACAATAACTCTGAAGTTTTATTTGCTGTTTTTCCCACCCAGAAAACCATTTTTTTCCAAACCACGCAAACCCTTAGCCACAGCTAAGCCAGGTAGAAATATTGCACTTGCTACTTGGTCTGCACGACTAAATAAGGTAAAGGAATCATCACAATAATTTTTCAGCATTCTAGCTGATCTTTTGCTGCAATGCTGCTGCAATTGCATTTTATTAAATAGCATCTTCTCTGTTGGTTAGTAAAAGATATTTTACTTGTCTATTTTATTCCTCTGTTCTTGGTTACTTTACATATTTTGTTCACTGATTCCCATGAGACAGAGTTCTTGTTTATTGCAGGTGCATTTGTTTTTCACCCTCAGAATAGATTGTTGTGTTAATGAACTCTCACTCTCAAAATAGCTTCACATGGGAACTTGTAACTGCACTTCAAAGAAGTGACAGGCTAGCTTTGGCAATGTAGCAGAGCAAGGCTGATTTCATCAGGCCTTTCTTTTATAATTCTTTTACTTGTCTATGACATCTCCCCCTTTTCATTAATTTTAAAAAGGCTCATATGTTCTGATGTCAAAACAGCTTGCCCTTGTAAGGGTATTATTTCATTAAGGTTATCACTGGCTATCTGCTAGATATCGGATAAGATACATAAAAGACCAATTACAATCAACAAAACTTAGCAAATTCTATCACTGACCCAGGGTTTCACAGCATGAGAAAACAAAAGAATAATGTCCAATGTGTCCTAGGGAAATGGAAATAAACGACTATTGTTTTAAAGTCCAAATAGCCCATTAGCTGGAAATGTTGATCTTTGACATCACTGAATGTCCTCTTGGATCCTGGAACAGGGAATAACTGAAGGTTAGTAGGAACATGATATTGTGATGATGACATACGGCTTTTTTGCCTCTGTAGTTTGCAGACACAGCTAAGTCTTGGCGGTCCTACTTCTGTTCCTGTTCTGGCCATGAAGGCTGCATGGTGATTAGGTTATTTCTCTTCTCGCTGGGCCTCATTTTTTCAGAGGCAATTGGTGTCTGATCAAATGAACAGGTGACTACTTCGAACCTGTTGATGATAAAACACAAGGCATACCTTCTCTTTAATTTAATGAATCAATTAGGCTTTGCTGTTATACACTCAATTGGGATTTAGATTTGATCATCTTTTTTCCAAATTTCTAATGTAAATATTGCATTATTTGAATTCTTAAAGCAATAAATTCCCCCCCCCCCTTTTTTTAAAATAAGATGCCTGTCTTTTGTTATGAGCATGAAGAAACATCAAAGCCAAAGAATATTTGCAGGGAACAAGAAACCAGGAATTAGTCAGATAATACGCACAATCAATAACACATGTGAAATTAGATGACTACCAAGCACTAAAACATTGTACCATCATCCCAGTGCCTACAACAGCTGATAAACCTCAAATCAGTGAAGAACTGGATAATCATCTTTGAAAAATTATTCTCACTTCAAAAATAGGTCCAGCTGTCATGTATTGGGTCGAACTGCCAAGCCAAAGTGACTTGAATATTATTTTGATGCAGAAAACACCTGGATCTGTTGGCAGTTTCCCATCCAGGTAGAGCCAGGGTGTGGCCAGAGCCTAGGCCCTAATTGGAAGAGAATTCCCTGACACATTTTAAAAACAAGACTCTCAAGAATAGAAGTTATAAGTAAAGGTCTTGGGGTGAGAGACTAATCAAACCCATCCAAAAGCTGGTTCCCTCTGAAGTTTCCTTTAGGATAGAGATGTCTCAAAGGCAGCACACTGCTGGAGTGCTTCTGTAAGAAATAATTGGGATTGCATCTGTGCTCTGTCCTCTCTCACAATAACCACAAGATCATCAGTTTAGAGGAGGTTTTCAACAAAGCTCAGATATTGTTTCTTAGAACTCTGAAAATACTGAAAATCATGAGACAACAGAGCCTGGATAAAGGAGATGCATATGCAACTAGAGAACAATAAATAATGATCCTGAAAATGACACGTCTCATAGATAATTACACCAAGAGGTGTTAAAACATATTAAAAAGCCAGCAATAAATACAACATTAATATCTTATGAATTATGCCTATTATAAAATCGGTAAATTCACACTATGCAATCAATAGTGTTGTAGCAGACCTTGCATTTGAGATAGAAATTAATCAAGACACAGATTCTTATCGAAAAGGTCCTGGCTTATTCTTCATTATAAGTCAGCTGATTCTGACTAATCAGAGACTTTGACTGCAGCAAACTCCCACCGTAGGTTTCCTTTGCAGACTCTGAGGTCAAGTTATTTCCTGGCGGAATATGACTGCAAGTATTTTCTTGCCACCTCTAACTGACCTCACAGCAAGTCTCTCTCCCATTTGGTCAGTCCTCCAGTCCTTTTGAAGCGTTCCTTCAGTACCTTCAGTTCCTTCTTTCTCAGGATCATCTCCTGACTAGCCAACCCATCCTTTTATCAGGCTCACAAGAGAATGTAGCTTAATCAGCACTTCAGTAGAACAAAAAGCATACTTAAGAGAACTCAAAGTTATCAGTATTAATACCGAACATAAATTGATCTTAATAAAACTGGAATAGAACATAAAACAGTTTAAAGAGAAGAACAATTAAACTTGACTTTGTCCAAACCCAGTAACATTCAAACTTGTCAGAAACTAAACTTAACAAAATTAACCAAATAGAACTTAACCTTGATTAAATTAACAGAACTCAACTCAAATCTGACAATATTGGAGCTTAACTTTGCTTAGTCATAGCAACACTTAATTTGTAGTAAATGAAAACATAACAGAGCTAAAAAATAATATCACCTAAAACTCATTTTGACTCTATCATTACAAGAAAGTTACTGAAAATTCGAACAATCTGTATTTGAAATAGCAGCAACATAGATTTACTGGAGGGATTATAAAGGTGTGGTAAGTATACTGTAATTTCATGTAATTCAGTTTTGAGAACAGCTTATGGCAGCTGCAAATATCACTGAAAATACTCATTTGTTGTAAGGATTTTCCTGGTGCAAGTATAAGTTCACTAAGAGTTTTTAAAGTGCAGCTTCACTGAAACAAAAATGACAACAGTGTGGATCTTGGCGCAGTGTCTGGACACCTATTGAGAAAGTAAGAAAATTACAGCCTGAAAAATATTCCAGGCTGGAGCTTTTCAGCTCTGTTCCCAGCCAATAAGCTGGTCCAGCTCAAGGCTAGAGAGAATTTCTCCCTGGGTGATAATTTGGTCAAAATAAAAAGGAATTAATAACAAGATAGAACACCTGTTGTGGTGCGTGGCCAGGCCCTGGGAATGAGGTGTCTTCTCTCTGAACCAATCATCTTTTTTCTACTCTTGGAATTGCGAGTCATGATATGAAACCAAGGGTGTTTCTGAATAAACTTGTGTCCTGAGGTACAATGCAAAAATGTGTATTCTATCATCATCTGTTGAAATGTGGGAGGGGTGGTGATCCTTATCTCTGTGGGAGATATCTTCTGCTGATGTGCCATCTGATAAAATCAGGGGGATGATCATCATTATCTTTTCACAACCCATCCTTCCTCCAGAAGATATATTCTGTTAATGGGCCATTAAGTCCTATTGTGTGACTGATAAGATTACATCATCCCATTGGGAGATGCTCCAGCCAGGGAGAGGAGCCAATCCTTTCCTACCTAGACAAAAAACTGGGGTTTGGAACGCAAAGGCAGCCCTTTCCACTGGATCCCAGAGGAATGTCAGACCTTTTCCACATCATCGCTGGACCTTCGGAAGAAAACTGTACCCCCCTACAGGAGCACTGCTTCAACTGAACCACATCTGTCATCCAGGAGGACTGCAGCCACCATATTTATACGGACTGCTACTAACACCCTGACTGACAGGGTGTCAGGTTGTATTCTGACTCTGTCGGTGGTTTTTCTTTTGTATTATTACATGTATTTTATTTTTTCTCTTTTTTCCTATTAAATTGTATTACTGACTTGGAGTCTCGCGCTGGTTTTGCTTTCAAACCAATACAACTTGTCTCTTTCTTGCTATCATGAAAGACGGCCATGTAGTTGTGTATCTTATTTCCACGTAAAAACCCCGTTCCACGGCTATAGTGCAGCTTCTCAAGATTGTCTGTACAGCAGAATTGAATTTCACTAACAGATATACACAATTAAAATGTTGACACATATATTTTATGGCAAAAAGGATGCACAATGAAATTACCTTACTAAATTTGTAAGGTAAAAACCAAGCAAATGGGCAAAATTAACACAATATTGTCTGCCCACTCTGTGCAATTATAACTGAGCTTCAAATAACTGTGGTAGATAAAATTCAAGGTTATAGAACCTAGATAATTGCTTGTCATGGCATATTATTTTATTTCGTATTAATTCAGGTTATACCCAGTTTTGCAATGGTTCATTCCTAGGTTGTTCCCCCCTGGTTTAACATGTTTTAGTCTCTCCCCTTCCTGCCTCCACCCTTGTCTGTTATCCCCAAATGCCTCCTATAATTCCAGATTCTTCCCTGCCTGTCACCCTAATCCCTTCCCACACAGATGTCAATCCCCCTTGGCCCCTCCCTTTCTTCCAGAAAGTTCAGTGTCCATCATTCCCCCATATGTATACCATTGGCTATGTTTTGTGGTCTCCACCTATGCTCTTCCCTTATTGGTTAAGTGCAGTTGTAGCCCTGCCTTGTGTTACACCCCTGGGCTACTCTGATTTGTTGGCGAGTTGTACCCTCCCATGGGGGCAAACCCCTATTTAAGTAGTTGCACAAGCATTCTTCCTGCCTTTTGTGGTTCCTCTTCCCCGACCCCAGCTGGTTTCCTATCCCTTTCCAATAAACCTTACCCTTGGATCTACAAAAAGACTCTCTCGCGCTCTTTACTCTCCTTCGGACTGGTGCCGCCACAGCAATAGCTTGGAGCTCTACCTCTATCCCGAGTTCCCTAGATCTTGGGAAGAGGCCACTCTTGGCACAGGTTTGCCCTGGAGCTAGTGGGGCTGCCCTAGTCTGAGTGGGCAAATGGCGAACTGTGTCAATTGCTCTTCAGTCCAGGCTGGAAGACTGCTGTTCAACTAGCATTTACTTAAAACATTTGTGAGGAAAAGTCCTCGGAATTAAGGGGGCATAAACATTATCCACCTGTAAATATTTTTAGGTATGCAAGTTTCTAAATCATAACCTAGCAAAGAACCAGTGTCAATTTAGTGTAGTTTCATATGGTAAATTTTATCAGCATTTCTGTTAAAGAAACTAGATCTTGCCATGTTACATTCACACAGATAACTTTAAATGTCTCCAGTAACTCTTGTTAAAAATCACAGTTCACTAAAACACAAGGTGAAGTTTAACAAACGTACTTCAATGTGTCTTTTAGGCATTCCGATAACGGTGCATCATAGCTTCAGCAAATGGAGCCAGTCAGCTGCTCTGCAGCAGGCGTCGGTGGCGGGGGGCACACCGCACTGAGGGAAACCGAGTCATGCAGGGCTCTGGAGGAGGCAAGAGAGCTCTGACAAGCCGAGGGGGCCTCCCAGCCCGGGAGACCAATACAGTTCTGTTGTTTTTACATCCAGTGAACAACAACAACCTGACTTTTTAGCTGTGTTGGCATTTTGCTTTCTGTTGGATTCCGGGCAGTCCTTCTCATCATAGTCTCGTTACTCACTTCAACGCACAAAACCTTCCTGGCCACATCCCAGGTTTCCATATGAGATGTGGTCTGAGCATCCACGGGGAATCCATTAACTGCACCAAATCAACAGTCTAGGGAGAGTACTCTCATCGCATTTAATTCCTCTTTTAGATAGTATATGCAGGAGAAGACTCACTATTGCTTGCTCCTCCTGAGAGACATTCTGGCCCATCTCCTTTCTCAGCTCACCTCACAAGGGTGTTCCTGTTGCAACATATGTTCTTCTTAGCATAGTGAATCGTCCTCCAATTTGCCCGAGTCTCAGTCCCACTGAGCTGTAATCTGGCCAGTGTACCTTCTTTGGAGCTCTTCCTCTGTTCCCAAGCTGCTGTTTTACCTGCCAAACAATTCTGGGCTGCACAGCTCATTAGCACACCGAGGTCACTATCTGAGAAGATAAAGACCTGGACACTGCATGTTCCAATATGAATCAAGCAAATGCCACTTTATTGCTCTCTTCTAACCCTAATACATAATTTCTCTATCCCTACATGCGATCTTGCAACTTATCATTGGTGAAAGTCTTCTTGCACAAGGCAAACATGTGGGCTTTTCTATTTTTCATTGACTTCAGAGTTTCTTGGCATTCATCTATCACATTCAGCTCTTCTTGTCTTGCCCCTTATAACCTAACAGCTGTTAAGCAACAGCTGTCCTTATCTTTTCCATGGTGACTTCAAGGGCAAAACTACAGGCCTTGCTCAGGCTCATAAAAGCATTCATATCCCCTTCCTGGCTCATTCACTACATGTCCATTTTCCTCTAAAAACATTCTCACAAAGGAAGGATGGGCATGCTTTAAAACAGAAATTTTGAAGGCACAAGAACAGACTGCTCCTCTGTGGCAAAAGATGAGTTGACGAGACAAACGACCAGCCTGGATGGGCAAGGAACTCTTGATGGGGCTAAGGAAAGAAAAGAAGGGTGTATCACCTTTGGAAGGAGAGATAGCAAACGTTTTAGGGGATAGCTAGGGCATGTAGAAAAGAAAAAAAAGAGTCAAAAGCCCAGTTAGAACTCAAACTGGCAACTTCTGTGAAGGACAATAAAAATATTTTTATAAATACGTTAATAGCAAAAGGAAGGGTAATGACCTTCTGGTAAGGAAGGTAAGGTAAGGAGGTAAGGATCCTCTGTTCTCTATTAGATGTGGGAGGGAATTCAGTAACTATTGATGAGGAAAAGGCAGGGGTACTGAACACCTTCAGTACCTCAGTTTTCAACAGAAAGATAGGTTGTCCTCAGGACAACTGTCCTCCTGGATTGGTAGATCATGTCAGGGAACAGAATTGTCCCCCTGTTACCCAGGAGGAAGCAGTCAGAGAAATGCTGAGCTGCTTGAATGCTCATAAATCTTTGGGACCAGATGGGATCCATCCCAGGGTGATGAGGGAGCTGGCAGATGAGCTTGTGAAACCACTCTCCATCATTTACCATCAGTCCTGGCTCATTGGGGAGGTTCCAGTTGACTGGAAGCTGGCCAATGTGACACCCATGCACAGGAAGGGCTGGAAGGAGGATTCGGGAAACTACAGACCAGTCAGCCTGGCCTCAGTACCTGGTAAGATTATAGAACAGATCATCTTAAGTGCCATCACATGGCACTTACAGGATGGTCAGGGTATCAGACTCAGCCAGCACTGGCTTTAGGAGGGGTAGGTCATGTTTGACCAACCTGATCTCTTATGACCAGGTAACCCACCCAGTGAATGTAGGATGTTATTTGGACTTCAGCAAGGACTTTGACACTGTCTCCCACACCATACTTCTGGAAAAGCTGGCAGCCCACAGCTTGGACAGGAGCACTCTGATGGGTTAAGAACTGTCTGGATGGCCAGACCCAGAGAGTGGTGGCGAACGGTGCTGCATCCAGCTGGTGGCCAGTCACTAGTGTTGCTCTCTAGGGATCAGTGCTGGGGCCAGTCCTGTTTAATATCTTCACTGATGATCTAGATGAGGAGATTGAGTCCTCCACCAGTAAATTTGAAAATGATACCAAGCTGGGAGCATGTGTCAATCCATTGGAGTGTAGGAGAACTCTACAAAGCAACCTGGACAGGCTGGATAGATGGGCTGAGTCCAATAAGATGAAGCTTAACAAGTCTAAATGAGTCCTGCACTTAGGCCACAACATCCCCTACAATGCTACAGGCTGGGGACAGAGTAGCTGGACAGTGCCCAGGTAGAAAAGGACAAGGGGGTACTGGTTGAGAGCCAACTGAACATGAGCCAGCAGTGTGTCCACGTGACCAAAAAGGCCAATGACATCCTGGCCTGTATCAGGAATTGTGTGGCCAGCAGGACCAGGGACGTCATTTTTCCCCTGTACTTGGCACTGGTGAGGTCACACCTTGAGTGCTGTGTCCAGTTCTGAGCCCCTCAGTTTAGGGAGGATGTTGAGATGCTTGAGGACGTCCAGAGGAGGGCAACAAGCCCTGTGAGTGTTGAACGACTGAGAAATGACTAAGGGAGCTGGGGCTGTTTAAGCCTGGAGAAAAGGAGATTTAGGGATGTCCTTGTCACTCTCTACAACTACCTGGAAGGTAGATGCAGTCAGGTGGGGAAGAGTCTGTTCTCCCAGGCAACCACTGAGAGAACAAGAGGACACAGTCTTAAGCTGCACCAGGGGAAGTTTAGGTTAAATGTTAGAAAAAAATTCTTCACTGAAAGAGTGATTGCGTGCTGGAATCATCTGCCCAGGGAGGTGGTGGAGTCACCGTCCCTGGACATGTTTAAAAAAAGATGAGACATGTCACGCCATGGTTTAGTTGCTACAGATATATTAGATCATAGGTAAGACTAGATTATCTCAAAGGTCTTTTTCCAACCTCGTTAATTCTGTGATTCTGTGATTCTGTCACTTGTCCCAGGCCCATTTGCTGTCCACCATGGTCAAGTCGAGAACTGCTTCAGAATTACTGCCAGGTTGTGGGACAGACAGGCAGCTGCCACTTAGCTCTGTCAGGACGGAAAGTGCCATCCAGCTGTCTTGGGGTGACTGTATGATGCCCATATCCCCAAATCGTCTGTTCTGTTGGTGTTGAATATTAAATTCTGCAACTTTAAGACTGGTTCCAGGAGTGAAGGGGGGGGAAGAAGAAGTGCAGAATTTGTTATCAGAGACTGCACTGGCTCCCCCCCATTCCTGCTCAAGGACTCTGTTGTCTGCGGTGGACAGTGAGAGAGAGCTCTCCTTTGCTCTTGATTAGTTTTTCAGCTAGCTGAGGCAGAGAAGCCCCCAGGACTGTTTTTTTTTCCCTTTCTCTGTTTTCCTGGAACTGTTTGAACCTGCTCTGGACTGAAAACCCAGAAGAGCACCGGGAGCTCACACCTGTGGCCCACGGGGCCTGGCCTGGGCTGCAGCATTCCCCAGCACAGGAGGGACTGAGAACAGACTGAGTGAGCCGGGCAGCCCATGGAAAGAACGCTTCTAAATCCGTCATCTCCTCGGAACAGCGAGAGGTTTTGCTGTTTGATAATGTTCATTGTTGTGCTGGGAGGTGTGTTGCCTGTTGAATAAACAGTTTCCTTTTTTGTTTCCACTTCTCTACATTTTTTTTTTCCAGAGGGACCTCATTCAGAGGTTTCCTCCCAAATTTGTCCTAAATCAGGACACAGCAGAAGGGCAGGGCAAGGAAAGGTAGGCACTTCTCCCCTTACAAACCACAGCCGAGTCCATCAGAGCTCCACCAACTTGCCTCTCTGCTCTTGACCTGGTGTTGAAAACTTTTATCTCAGTGGGCTTCAGAACAACACCTAAGCCTAAATCCTACTGGGCATCAACATTTCTTACAGGTGTTGGGAGGTTCCTGAGCAATAGCTTTTCCCCCCTCTCTTTTGGCAACTCAAATCACTCCTGCCTGTAGAAAAGAGGAACCTGAGTATTTGGAGTTTCCTGAAAGGAACTAATCCCTGGGACAGCAAGCAGCATTCCCACAGTGCAGTCAGGGTAAAAATACCAGCAAACTGAAGACTGCAGGATGAACAGATTAGTGGGGTTACAGACCATATTTCCCTGTGATAAACAGGTTATGAACATAAAGATAGAATGCAAATGGTTCCCTCACTCCTAATTCTGGGTATTTCTGGGCACCAGAGAAATCCTGCTTGAGCCTGTGAGGCACTGAGTTTGGAAAGTTTGGAACGGTTTGTCTGGTTTTTCTGGAGCAGCATCCATTTTTAAAATCAGCTGTTCCTCTGTCCAGATTCATATCTCTGATCATTACAACACAATGGCAAGGACCATCTCAGAATGGCTTTCCCGAGTGTCAACTGCCCTGAGTGGCACTCACAGTAAAACTCTGTAAAACATCAATTCTGTTTGCAGACTGTCTTCCTTGTCATCTTGTATATAAGCTATACACGCAATTCTGAATTGTTCATTGTTTCTTCAAGATGGAAAGTCCTGTTTCTGGGCTTTTAGGGATGGTTTGGAATTGGGGGTGTCCTTCCTTCATCTGCTCTGCAGTGGCTTTGGATTAGGGCGCAGTGCCTAGCTTTTGCCAAGCCATGATACTTGCTCCAGTAAAAAAGTCCATAGCAATATGACAATATTAGACCCGAAGAGAAAAAGAATATGCCATATGATCTCTAGTGAAGTGTCTTCTAAGGTAAGCTATTTATAGAGCTAAGCAGTAAAAACAGAATCACGAACATCTGAAGCTATGGAACTTTGTGTACTATGCAGTTCAGTATAAGAAGATTCTGCATCTGCTCAGATCTGGCCACAGTTCAGCCAGAACCCAAACAAAGTCTGTGTCCAGGGTTGTTGCTGTGGTATGGATCTTGTGAGGATAAACCCCGTTGAGACAGAAGATGAACAGGAAGTCAGCTGTGCCATGCACTAATAGAGATACTTGGCTTCTGGAACAGAAGAACTGACAGTGTGAGCCTCTATGAGCCTCCAAAAGAGAAGCATGTACATGTACCCTTGCTGTGACAACATCCAAAGTCAAAGACAGCTTCAAGGAATCCAAGTAGCTGTTACTACATTACAAAAATTAAATTAGATCAATATGAAATTAAAAGGTTGTTGGTGTTGTCTCTTAGTACAAGTGAACAGCAGAAATATTTCTCTAAGAACATTGAAGAAAAAGGAAACCATAGATGACACTTTTCAGAGCCCCAGCTAAATTAATGAATACTATGTGACCTACAGTAGAAGCCAAAGGTCTTCCTTCTAGGCTGTGGCAATTTAAATTCATTTTAATGGCTGTTGAAACTTAGATTTTGCTCAGGTTTGGGGTTTTTGGTTGGTTGGCTGGGTTTCTTTCTGACATGGTTGATAAAATGAACAGTTTCTTTCTAGGATTTTTATTTTCCAGAAACCCATGTTCAGCTCTGCCAGCCATCTCCCCTAGGCCCTTTTCCCCAGGCAGCCTTCCAGCCACTGCCCCATCCAGTAGCACTGCCAGGGATTGTTGTGACCCAATGGCAGGACCCAGCACTCGCCCTTGCTAAACGTCGACCAATTGGCCTCAGCCAGTCTAGTCTTAGCAGTATTGAGAGGAATGATGGATTTGTCTTTACAAACGAGCTGTGATCTGCTGGTAGATAAGACTAGCACTAAGAGATAAAAGAAACAATGGGATGGATTCCACTGATTGATGAATGGAAAAAGACATTTGCCTTTACAAACTGTAGGTCTGATGATAAATGAAATTGGATATTGAAAGATGAAAGAAGCAATGGGGAAAAACTATGAATTCTATAAGAATTAAGAATTAAAAGGGAGGGTTATACATTAGAGGGGAATCTCAGGTATCAGGCGTTCCAGAAAGTCTGTACCTCTGAAATACCTCAGCCAATGGGGAAAGAGTGAGGGAAATGTGACCGGGAAAATAGAATACAAAGGAAGCTGCGTTCTCCAAAAATGTGAGAGAGCCCAGGGGAATGCCCCATGGCTGTTGGGAAGGATGAATTAGGGAAACCTTATAAATACGAGTGCCTAGCAAAAGACACTGAGAATATGAAAAATATAAGCGAAATAGAAATGATAGCAATTTTCGACTGTGTGACTGAAAGCAACTGAATGCCTGAAGGCCCCTTTGTTTAGATAGTGTTAGATGTTGCGAATACCAAAAAGCAAGCAGACATCCTCCCTAGGCATGGCAGGAAGGGTCCCAGATAAAATTTAGAGATAAGAAAAGCAGTAAAACATGGTAATATAGTGATTCCTATAGGTTGCATGCAAATGTTAGAGAATTTGTATCTTGTATTAGATTGGTTAGTGAAAATTAGAATATTCAACATAGAAGATTTATTGTATTGTAAACAGGAAAATCTCTCTCTTCGTTCTTATTCTCCTCTCTTCTCTTCGCTCTTACTCTCTTACATTCTCTTCTCTTACTCTTTCTCTATCCCTCTCTCTCCGTCCTGCTCTGAGCTGCAGCTTCAGTTCCTAGCAGGACCTTATACATACCCACGCCCTACGAAATAAACTGCAAACTTCAAGACCAGAATACAGAGAGCGCCTGAGTTTGTCCCTACCGTCCCAACGCAGTAATTTCTACACATGGCCTCTCTCTTTATTCGAATAAAGCAAAAAGGACTCATCTGTCTCCTTTCTGGACATAAACTTCTGGTGTTTGTGGATTAATTTTCCTAACAGTATGAAGTATGTTTGCCAGAAAGGCGAAATAGATTGGAAAAACAAACAGTCTGAAAGCAGTATTTTTACTTACGTCTGCGAAGTAAAGTAAGTTCCTCCTGTTAGCTTCTTAATGACATATTCAAAGGGAAGTTGCCTTTGGATGCTCAAAAAATATCCTGACGTGATGGAACTTACCTTCTTCTGCAGATTCATTTCCTAATTCTCGCCCCGGTGATGTCCCCTGCTCTGTTCCGGTGTTTTGTCAGCCACCCTGTCCCTGCGCTGCCACCTGCTCTGTCCTGTTCCCAGCAATGTACCGCTGTTGCCATTTGGCCCTATCCCGCTGTGTCTCCTGTCTTCGCCGGAGGTCTTCCCCGTCCCATCCCTGAGGTGTTCCTGACCTATCCTGGCAGAACCTCCATCTCCCTTCCCCGAGGTGCTCCCCACCCTATCCCGGGGTGTTTCCTTTCCTATCCCAGAGCTGTTCCCTCCCGCCTCAGGGTCGCGGCTCGCTGAACGGGCGCACTCGCCCGTTAGTTACGCAGCGGCGCCGAGGGGGCCCGCGGCGGGCTGGTCGTTGCCGCCAAGGGGTGTCGGGCGCTTGGGCTAGCCGTGACGGATAGCTCGGTAGCCAATAAGAGGCGGAGCAGCCGGAGGGGTGGGGCGGACGCTGCGCGGGCGCAGCCGCCACTGCCCCATCGGGGGTCCGTCGCTTTGTGCGCGTCGTGTCACGTTCTGCTGCAGAAGGAGGCGCAGGCGGCGAAGGAGGAGGCGGCGAAGGAGGAGGTGGCGAAGGAGGAGGCGGCGAAGGAGGAGGCGGCGAAGTGGGAAGCACTGTGGAGAACGTCGTCAGCCTGCCCTCTCCGCCGCTGCCTCATGCCGCGGCTCCGTCCTGCCTCTGGCCCGGGGAGCTGCATGGCCGGGCATGGGGACCGCTGCGTCCTCTCGCTCCTCCAGGGCTGAGCTGCCGCTCGCCGCCCTCCGGCAGCTGCTCGCCGCACTGGGGTTGCTGCTGCTGCTGCTGCTGCTGCTGGGCGAAGGTACCGAGAGTGTGGAGCTGGGAGGGACGGGAGCGCAGCCGGGTGCCCATAGACGCGAGGACCTGGCGGGTCCTTTTCCTTCAGGTAGAGCCTTTCATGAGGAGGGATTCGCGAGCTGGGCCTGTGTGGTCGAGAGAGGGGAAAGCTGAGAGGCTGTGTATAAATATCTTCATTCGAGAGGATGGTGCCAGACTCTTTCATTGGGGCCCAGCGACAGGAAGAGGAACAATGGCTGTAAACTGAAACACGAGAAGTTTCACTTCAACATGAGGAAGAACTTCTTTGCATTAAAGGTGGCAGAGCACTGGAACAGGCTGCCGGGGAGATCATGGAGTTTCTCGAGACATTCAAACCCCACCTGGATACGTTCCTGTGACAGCGGGGTTGGACTAGATGATCCCCAGAGGTCCCAGCCTTAAAAATTCTGTGATTCTGTGGTTTACTCAACTGTTTGATAACTTGACAGACTTGCTCAGCTAGCCTCATTTATTTGTGATTAAAATAATATTACAAATACAACTGAAGAGAAATAAAAGTTTTGGTGCTTTGAAAGTCTCGCTCTAAACCCAGCATTCCCTCTGTCATTGTGTTTGGCATGGGTCTTTTTTGTGTATCTGAAAATACAGAAGTTGATTGTTGTTAGGGTTTTTTCCTGTACTTTGCAGAGGTATGTTTGTTTGTCTTGCACAAAGAAATTTTCAGCTTACTTACATGAGTCATGGTCATGCTTAGCTGTAGGTGGAGAGTTCTTCATTTTACTTTGTGTTGTCTTGGGATATTGACAGGAGATTTGTATTATCTACACATCACTGGCAAAGCCTATTGCCCTTATAAATTCACGGTTTGAATATTCAGAGTAAGTCGTGAGTTCTGACTCAGGAAGGTCAGCTAAGGGGCAGGCAAAGAAATTGCTGATATCCTCTCATCACTGGGTGCATTGCAGAAAACAACTCTTTAAAAATGAAAGATGTTGTTACTCAGCCTACTTTCCACTTCTCACAGCTCAGAAGTTTCTCATAGATATGTTTTCCTTTTTTTAAAAAACTCTTCCATGTGTCTTTGTAGACATTTTTGTGGTGTTCAAAACCCGTTTTATGACAGTGAGAAATTACAGATAAATGTTCCCACAGATGAATTTTAGTAGATAGTTTTCCAGGCTTAGACAGCTGTTGCATGAAGTTGTGCACGTATTCTTTTTGAAGGTCCATTTTCTCTGGATGGCAGGAAATGCACTTTTTCCTAGATTGGGATGCTCCTGGTTTTAACCTGTGTGAAAAGTATGGCTCTGTTTCCCTTAGTGTGTCTTGTTAATTTAATTTTTGCTTCTGGTAAGTTCTTTGGTAAAAGTTATCTTCAGAAAGCCTTTGTTAACTGCCATGAGAATCTGGAAGGATTTCAGATCATACATGTGAGAACTGTGGAGGAGACCACTGTAAAACTCCATTTTATTTGCAAGGATGTCAACTGTGCTTTTTTGTGGAAATCAGGACATCAGATAAAGTCCGACTGGTTTGCTCATGTAAACTGAACTGTGTAGCAGTTGTATACATCTGACAAGTACTTCAGGCTTTTGTGGGGAAAGGGTTTCTCTCCCCCCTGTCTTATTACTGAGTTATGCTCTGACAGCTACTGCTATTGCAATGTACAAGTGTGTTAGCTGAAAACTTGCACTTCAGACGACTTGGTTTTTTGATGCATTAGTCCCAAAAAAACGAGCAGTGAAGTTTTACCTATGGCAGTGCCAAGGAAATAAAGCAAACTGCTTGGCTGCTTACCTACCATACTCTCCCCACCCTGGTTGCTAGAAGAGAACTAGATTTTTGCTTAATTCAGTCTAGTTTTTACATAAACATTTTTCGACATTTAGACGTGTCTAAACGATGTCTAAACAACATTATTTTGTTGCCTTTACCACATTCTTCTGAGGGGCGGAATTCTATATAAAAATTCAGTAACTTGTGTAAAGCACTAAAAGATAAATGGAGACTTCCTTATAGACTAAGTAATTAATTTAAACACAGAATTACATCATCATCTTGGTATCTGTAAAGAGCTGTTTGGCTTATACTTGACAGGACTGAGTGCTCATAATTTTCATCTAGACAATATGAAATAATGGATTAAGACATCATGAGTCCTGTCAGCCTCTAAGACATCCTCCATTGCTATCTTTCTGTCTTTCAACATCTTTTTTTCTACAATGCAGTGTTTCCCTAATGGGTATGCATCTTTCTTTCAGGTTGTTTTCTATGGTTCTTGAGGGAGTGGAAAGGGGGTATTGCCACGTAAGAGGTTTGCTTTATGTCTTTCTCCTGTCTCTTTTGCGCTTAGGTGACTGTCAGCTGCTCACATCATGTGGAATCCACAAGTGCACCACGGATTTTGTATCCTTCACTTCACATCTAAACGCGGCTCTTGAGGACTTTGATTTGGAGTTCTGCAAGGCCCTGCGGGCATACTCTGTGTGTACCTATCGCAATTCCAAAGTATGCCGTGGAAACCTGGTCTACCATTCTGCAGTGCTTGGGATCGATGATCTCATGACCCAGAGAAACTGTACCAAAGGTGGACCCACATCATCCACCAACCCTGAAATGACCCATGATCCTTGCAATTACAGTGGCCACACAGAAGTGAAAGAACATCAGTGGGGAGAGAAGACTTCTCCTTTTCCGTTTTGTGGCTTGTTTGGGGATCCTCATCTGAGGACTTTTAAAGATCACTTTCAGACATGCAAAGTGGAAGGCGCTTGGCCCCTCATAGACAATAACTACTTATCAGTGCAAGTGACCAATGTGCTTGTGGTCCCAGGATCCAGCGCTACTGCTACAAACAAGGTACAGATTTCATTTGTGCACTGTGCATTCATGGAGAAGTAAAAGCCAAAACAGTTCAGTAAGTCATTTAGCCCTTAACAGTGAAGAAGTAGCTGCTTGAGAATCTTCTGTGCAGTAATATAAAAAGGTAAAACCGTTAGCATCTTCTTTTAATGAACATCAAACAAAACAGGTTATTTTCTTCCCCCTGCTCCTGCTCATTACGAGAAAACTTGTGCGTATCACCACACAAGCCTGTAAGGATACTGATATAACACCTTTATTGATTATTGTACATCTGTGACTGTCTCTGCACTAATTAGAAATTTTAAAAATCATACAGTGCTTTGGATTGGAAGTATGTCCCTGCTTTTTATTAATTTTCTAAACTTCATATCTATAACAGTAGAAAACAAATAATACTGAAAGTGCCACAAAAAACTACTTACCAAAGCACTGCTGGTTTAGAACGGAAACCGGCTCTAAAGAGGGCAAACTGCAGAGAACTGAGAGGAAGTAGGAAGCTAAATGCTTCTGACAAGGACTTAGTACCTTGGCTTTACTAAACAAGTAGTGGCCCTAAAATTGTGCCAAAAATATTAAATGCTTGTTGAGACAGGCAAGACTTAAGATTGCACTTCTCTCAAATACTTGAGGAGTCTAGAGTAGTAATGTATCTGCTGGTATTGGATAAATGATGCCATTTCTTTAACTTAAGAAAAGTCTTTGTCTCTTCCTGCTGAATGCGGGTAGCAAGTGTGTCCATCAATTACTGAAGTATGCATTTGAAGCTGACATTGTCACATATCTCTTTTGGAGTGAAAGGGCTTTTTTAAAAATTGTGGTAATGTAGCTCTTTTATTGTCAAGCTACATCAGGCTACATGTGGACAGCTTCAAGACATTCAGATAATTTTTGCTGTGTTGTTAAGCCTGGAAGTAGGTTTTTTTAATTACTGGAATCAGAAGCTGGAGTTGTCCATCACAGTAGAGCCTACACATCTTCTGTAGAGTTGCCTGAGCAGTAGCGTTACTAGAGGAAAATCAATTTTACTATTAAGTTTGTACTGGGTTCTGAAGTATTGACTAATGGCAATGCTTGTGTGAGTGTATGGAGATTGGACTGAAGCTCAGAATTACATTTTCTTAACTTGTGCCAGTTTCAAAAACAGTCTTCATGGTGATTGAGTTCTGAAGGTGTATAAAATAAGAGAGTGAGGCTAAATGTGAGTAAGCTTTGCAAAAGAGACTTACGTAGTTCCCCGTATTTCCTTCATTAGCTTTTTCTAAAGACTCCTAAATAAGTGAAAGAAGAAGCTGCAGTAAGCTTTTGTCTTCAGTTTTGCTAAACTCTTGCAAAATTTTCTTTATTTCCTTGTTCCTGATAGTAGTAGAGGTAAACG